AAAATAAATAAATCTCTAAAAAGAAAGATACATATACTGAGCAATAAATATGTCACTTTTTATAACTGTTAAGTAAACATTTTGTCATTTAAATAGTCATAGAATTGAAACTCTGAAATTTGGCTAATAAATTTTATTTCTTTTTTGATTTGTTAAATTGCAAAGTCACAAATAAGAGAGGATTGACAGAAAGGAAGATCTTCCATCCAATGATTCACTCCCTAAGTGGCTACAATGGCTGGAGGTGAGCATGTCCAAAACCAGAAGCCCAGAACCTGTTCCAGGTCTCCCACGTGGGAGCAGAGTCCCAGGGCTTTGGGCCATCCTCGACTGCTTTCCCAGGCCACAAGCATAGAGGTGGATGGGAAGCAGGGTTGCTGGGTCATGAACCAGCACCCATATGGGATCCTGGCGCATGCAAGGTGAGTTTAACCACTAGGCTTCTGTGCCAGGCCCACAAATTTTATTTTATATTATTAATCTTTTACTGTTAAAAGTTGTCCAGAAAAATCATCACGTGACCATAATAAAGAATAGATCTCATATTCATCTGGTTTCATTTATTTTTAAAGATTTATTTATTTTTATTTAAAGGGCAGACTTTACAGAGAGAGAAGAAAAAGGTAGAAGGTCTTGTAGCCTCTGGTTCACACTGCGGATGGCTAAAATGCCAAGAAATGGACTAGTCTGAAGACAGAAGGTAGGCACTTCCTCTGGGCCTCCTAAGTGAGTGTAAGGCGCCAAATACTTGAGCAACCTTCAATACATAAACTGGAGCTCTTATAGGATACTGGCTTCACAGAGGGGGATGAGCCTCGTGAACCATAGCACTGACCCTATCTGGTTTTGCTTTATGACTTCAAATCATTTATACATGGAATGCTTCCTTACTGCCTGTTCCTGGGGAGGACGCTCTCACTGCCAGCTCCTTGCACAACTTTGCAAGTTCTTAGGTATATGTTTTTATTGGACAAAAATTAGAGCAAAGGAAGGCCAAGGATTGGAAAATGGGCCGGCAATGGGCCACCTAATGCCCTGGGTGCATTTCTGATGCTTACTTACCCAGTCCCAATGACTAGATCTCATCTGAAATGTTAACTTTATTTCTTTGAGAAGGAGAAACAGAAAGAGCTCTCTTCTGCTGGTCCATGCCCCCCAGGGGTCTGTAATGGTGAGGGTTTTTCCGGGCCAAAACCAGAAGCCAGGAACTCAGTCCAAGTTCCCATGAGAGTTCCTGCTGTCTCCAGGGTATACATTTACAGGGAGATGGAATTGGGAATAGACGGAGAACTGTACGCTAAATACTGTGATCTGAAATGAAGACATTCCAAACAGTGCCTCAACTGTTGAACTAAATGCCCACCCTAACTCCCTGTCATTGAGTGTAGGTCTCCTTTATGTAGATTGGAAATACTCTTTGATTTCCATTGGGTGCTAGCTACGGGGAACTTAACAAAATGGTCTTTTAGCTTTTCGGAGCACAGATACATCTTTTAATCCCCTGTGCATGAAGGTACTGGAAAAAGCCTCATTAACCTTGTCAGCTCCACATGGATCAGGACTAGAATTCTCCAATCCATTACTTATCAGGGGCTCCAGTCCCAAGAACCGGGCTGGGAAGTTGATAATAGTCCTATCCCAAGGACCACGGATTTCAAGTCTGTCTTAGCTCGGCTTATTATTTTGTCTCTTCCAAGGACATCACTTAACATAACTTCTCGTGTCAAGAGAAGCTATTCCTGACTGAGCTATACTATGTGTTGTCGATGACCTCTTCAGCATTTATGCATTACAGACACAGAAAGAGAGAGGAAGAGAGAAAACTCTTGTATGGCTTCATGTCTTCCTTGAGGGACTAGAATAACAGTATCCTTAAAAAAAAATACCAGCTACTACACAGTGTATACTCATGAAATTTATCTTGATGTGTGTACTTTTTACTTTGTGAAGAGCAAGAGAATCACCAAAATGTGCTAAAATACGTTATATTTTTATGAATAACAAATATTGTTAATGTGCATTTAACTAAACCTGTGAGTCATAAAACAGCTATACAATCACATGTTGGATAACATGTTAATTTTCCCTCTTATATTTTCCTCCTTTCATTGATTCTCATCCCAGAAGATGGTAAGCAATGTATTTCACTAAGCATGTAGTAAAATCAAAAGCAAAAGACCAAATACCCCCATAATAATTTCAGTCTTAATGCATGCTTGCTTCTGAAAGCCTCTACAAAATTATGTAAAAGTTTGCTCAGACGAGATGAGAACTCTAGAGGTGAGCATAAAATGGGGCTAGTTCCCTCATCACGCTATAGGACAGATGATATCCAGACACAATCTGAAAAATTGAAACACTTTTAACACCCACAAATGTTTTAATAAATGAAGAGTTTAAATGCATTGATTCAATCATCTCAGAATTAGACCCTCTGATAAAGGATGGCCAGGCTTGCCAGAAATTCCAGTGTAAGCAGCCTGAAAGGACCACAGCACAGGTTCCTGTGCAGAAGGATGCTCTTCAGAACCTACCAATGAGAGCGCTGCTTACCTTTTACAGAAGATCCAGGAGCTACATGTGGGAAAATAAACTGTACTTGAGATACATTGCAAAGAGTAAAGATTCATTTTTTATAGGTCTGAACTTGTGACATGAAATATACACTCACAATGCATCTTGAAATCCATTGAAAGGTGTTCATTTTTATTGCTGAATGGGAGAAAATATTTCAACAGTGTAGGGGATGTAGAAACAACTTTTTCCCCCTGTTCAAATAGCTGTTGTTGTCTTATGATGCTTCCTGGAATGAGACCTTTTACGATCCTCTAAAGTAGGATAACCTTTCTTACTGAGTCTTAGAAACTCATGCTTGGAAAGCTAATTAGTTCTATGTGGGCCAAACAGTAAGACAAATGATTCCATGACAACTTTTCAGCAAGTATCTTGCCTGATTGATGGCTTACTTATTTGACTGCACATGATAAATGACTACTCAACATTCTTAGTATTAGACATTCCGAGTGAAGTCTGAAAAGACAATCAAGGAAAAAAACACATATAAGTCACTGTTTTTATCATTTTTATTATTACTTAAGTACAATTACATTTATGTGGTCGTTGGCATTGAAATATTATTAATTGTTCAGTACATTTTTATAGCACCAAGGATACGGCTTACTAAAATCTTACTGATGGCTTGTAGACTGTGGAGTTTGACAACCACACGTAGTGTTAAATGATCAGATTTAATGTTTCGGCGTCACTAGATGACTTGTTGAGGAGAAAATATAGTTTTCTTGTTTATAGTGCGGTTGAATATACCAGCATCATTTCAATATACAACTTTTATTATCAAATTATAATAAAAATAAGCATGCAATAAATATTTACCAAAAAAAGTTAGTCATTTCGACACAATTATATACCATAGCTTAAATACATATTACAAAATAGACAATATGTGAAGAGTCACAATCAAACACAGAAAAGCTGATCACTTTACAAGATAGTGGAGTTATTCAAAAATAGTCCAGGTAAATAGCTTTGCATTATAAACATCCTCTGCCTCTGCAGTCCCTTGAATTCTCACTTTTTAAAAAAATATGTTTACTTAATTTTATTTGAAAGGCAGAGTTAAAGGGAAAAGCAGAAAGAGAGAGAGAGAGAGTTTCCATCTGCTGTTTCACTGCCCAAATGGCTGAAATCGCCAGAGCTGGGATGATCTGAAGCCAAGAAATAAGAGCTTCTTCAAAGTTTCCGGTGTAAGTTCAAGGTCGTAAGGGGCCATCTTCTGGGACTCTCCCGGACACGTTGTTAGGGAGCCAGATCATAAGTGGAACAACCAAGTCTGAAACCAGAGCCCATATGACATGCTGGCAGCGCAGGGGCAGGCTTAACCTTATAAGCCACTGTGTTGGCCCTGACCTGCAGATTCCAGTCCTGATAATTATGGAAGTGAAGAATTGAGAAAATAATACATACCATTCCAGCCAAAAAGGTGCCTTCTCTATACCTATTTCTTTATTGGAGGATTAAAAAAAAAAGGAGGTATTTATTTAAGCCTTACTAATTGGCTGAATCACTACCTTGATTCTTCATGTTGCTTTACATGTTTAGACATATACAATGAGTAAAGAATAAAACAAATATCAAAAACAATTTCCTTCAACATACAAACCTCAATTCTGCAACTGGGACTGTATCTCCCCTCCATCAGAACTCAGTTGCTGTGATATTCAACAGATGAGCCTTAGAAACAGTTACACATTTTGCTTGAGTTTACACATTGTAGGCTGTGAAACTATATTGATTTACTTTTATATAATTCTTACAAAGTTTGACTGCATTAATTAGATGCTTTAAATAAACTTCTTTAAATGATTTAAGAGAAATGAGTGTTACATTTTTTCTAAAAATGTCAATTTTTCATTTGCTTAAGTTTCTTACAGAAAAAAGAAACCGTTTAAATGGATGGACATTTGCATAATTTGATAAATGTAACTATAACAGTCATTTTATGTCTGGAGTCCACAGGATAAATAGTGTTTAAAGTCAGTACATAGTTTGGATAAGTAGTTTCCAGAAAGTTAGAACTTAATTTTTACCGAGTAGCAGCAAAAGTTGAATTAAAATTGGTAGGTTATGTTTTAGAATATATAACTTATTGCTCTGGATTATCTAATTTAATTTTAAATTCCTCACCAGATAATTATGATGGTCATAAAAGAGTAGCTTCTCATTGGACTTCTGCTAACATTTGCTGAATATATTGGTTTTAAACTTCACAAATCATACGGAGATTGAATCCAACAATAGCGGGTGTATGTGATCATATGAGGTTAAAACATCCAAGTGAGTCAGGTCTTCATGACAGGTTACACGTTTCCATCCCAATTTATATCTGGTCATGAGCAAGTTCTGACAGTTGTACTTACAGTTTCTTGCAGAATATTCTAAAATACATTGGTCTTTTCCATACTTGGTGGCGAAAGAAAATACTAGACATAACTGGTGGTCTTATTATTTGCCATCTCGTTCCTTTGCTTGCCCGTGTGAGGCTCACGGGGCGTGTTCCTTTGCCTGTCTGTGTGAGGCTCACGGGTCGTGTTCCTTTGCCTGTCTGTGTGAGGCACACAGTGCGCTGGTGTTGGGCATCCTCTTCTTTGCTTCTTTCTGTTGCAGCAGAAAAAGCCACAGAGAAGACATCCTCCAATGAAAAGCACAGCAGCGCTTGCCCAGCCGAGAAAGAGTGCTGCTCCCAGCTCTCGTTTCTGAGATACTGGGACAGCTGGGTTGTAAAAATCCCTGATGATGATATTGGCTGTCCAGCACACTGGAATCAGAACAAGGATGCCCGTCAGGATGAAGAGAGCTCCAGAAGCACCCAGAAGGTACACTTTAGCCTTCTCGTTAGAGCCTGTACACTGGATCTGCCTCATGCCACAGATGCCGAGAATCAAAGCAATCAAGGACAGAGCAACAGCCACACACATGAGTGCGCGTGATGCTTCCAGAATGGGTGGCAGAGCCAGCAAGGAACCATAGAACTTACACTGCAACCTGACCTTGCCTTGTCGCACGCAGTTCATCCAAAGCCCTTCCCAGATCCTTTCGAAGACAATAATGTTGCTGCCAATGAACGCAGACACTCTCCACTGAGGCAGTAGGGTTGTGGCAAGAGTCCCAACAAGGCCGAGGAACCCAAGAACCAGCCCAGCAATCTGCAGTGGATAAAACGCCATGACTGACTTTGCAGACTAGACAATTCTGGAATGATTGAAGACGCTGAAGACACAGAACTTGGAGAGCTGGGAAGTCTAGAACTGTCTCAGATGATATTCTCTCTGCTGCTTCTGCCCTTTACATTTTAGTCCAATCAACAACAATGACTGAACTTGGCCTAACTAGAAGTACCTGTTGTAAATGAAAGCTGTCTTGGTACACAAGCATTTGTTACTCCATGGGTTATTTACTAGTCATATGTAATTGTTTCCCAGCCAATAAGAAGGTAGACAGTGGTGTGTCAAGAAAAACTGCATTCAACTTTAGTGTTTCTCATATTATTATTGTCTTAGTAATGCTATAATTAAGTTTCAAAGCTTCCATTGTAGATTACTAATTACAGAGCTGAAAACTTCCTGTCTAAAAATCACTGTGTTGTAAAAGTATAAATATGTGCTAAGCCACAACTGAAGCAATGCCAAAAGTCTGTCACTTCATTGAGGTACAGTGAAAAATCATCTGGGATGCAGGCCATTGCTTTCTTCTAGCAGAAACCACCTTTCCTTGATATGGTTCATCAGTTATGCTTTTAAAAAAGATGTTTGGCTAGGAGTCATGCTTAATTATTGGTTTTAATACTTGCTCTAAAGGGCCAGTGCCTGGCATAGCAGCTGAGACATTAGTTAGGATGCCCGAGAGCCCTATTGAAGTGCCTGGGTTTGAGTCCTGCCTGCATTTCTAATTTCACCTTCCTGCTAGTGTGCACCCAGGGGAAGCAGAAAGCGTAGGCAGTTGGGTCTTTGTACTCCCATGAGAGATCCTGGTTGAATTTTCAGCTCCTGGTTTCTGAGCGGCTTACCTGTGACTGTTGACGACATTTGAAGCAAGAACCATTGGATGGAATATCTGTTTTTTCACTTTCTTTCGCTTTGCCTTTCAAATAAGAAATACATAAATAAATAATTATTGATTCTTAGGAGATGCCCTAAGCCAGAAGTTCAGCTTTTGCAGCTTATTTTTAGGATATAGAAAGTAAATTAATAGAGAGCCACTCCCTGTACTTGATTCGAATTGCATAATTAACTATTAAGCAACACTTCACTTTTTGGAAACAATATTTGACATGTAAACTTTCATTACATATTTCCTGAGAGGTAGCTTGATATACACAAAATCTATCACAGATAAAAATTCACATTTTGTTTTTAACAAACAATATGAAACTGGTCCTTGGAATTAGTTTGTAATTACTTAAAATTCAGACAACAAACATTATTTTAGAGCTGTAAAGTGACTCCAAAGCCATCAGATTTAAATTCTTTGTGCATCAAATTCAGAACATGAAAGACTAACTCTATGATCACTAATTCAGGGACAAACCTGGGCCTCTGAGTGGTCACCTTATTGCTTCTATATATCTGATTCCTCCACAAAAGAGAAAGATTTGTTTTCAAAAATTTTTCTTATGATTAGGGATCATCTGAAAGCCAACATTATTGCCTCTTCCACAGCTTTTAAAGCAAACAGAATTGGGTTGGGTCCATTTCAACTCTACTACCACTGGGAGAAAGGAAGGACAAATATGGATACTGAGAATGGTTCTCTTCAATTTACCATGGAAACAAATGCATTTTAAGGCTAAGCATCCTACTTGAAGGCAAATATACAAAACACAAATCATAGGATCTCCTGTTACATCACCCGAAGAGCTAGTGGATAATCTGATATCATGCAACTTTTAAAATAGTTTTAATTCATTTAGAAATGTGGAAGATAATGAGTTTTCAAGGGACGGTCTAGGGAATATGAATCATTGAATACACAGAAAATACATGCATGGTTCTCAGATTCCTAACTTCAAACCTCGATAAAGGATTTTCATGGCCTTTTGTTCTGGATTATTCAGACTTAGAGTTACTCATTCTACCCTGACAGGATTTGCCAACATTCTTGTGAGTTGTACCTTCCAGCATCTCCTCATTCCACTTCCTCTTCCCCATTCTATATCATTTTTATTCCCATCTCTATTATGTCCTGGGAGTTCCAAATTTGTTGTTCTTTTTAAGATGTTTTAGTTTCCACCTGTTCTATATTACAAGCAAACACAAGTGAGGGAATCTATTTGCTTAGAAGTTAGAAGTATAGTTTTAGACAGAAATAATTGAGGAAAAATAATTTAGATATGTATTTTCTTCTTTTCATAGCCAAGACAAATTCTCAATGCCAACCCACTTTTCATTCTTTAAATTTAGGGTACCATGATGCTTTCCTTCCGACTTTAATTTGAAACTCATTCCTGTTTACCTCTTCCATAGACCATACTTCACTGACCATTCCCAGCTTTCATTGCAACTCCACTGTCTTCCTCTCTCTGAGTTGTTCTTTGGGGAATAAATAAACTCAGTTATCTTCCACTTCAAAATTCCATTACTGGGCCTTGTGTGGTAGCCTAATGGCTAAAGTCCTAAGCCTTGCACACACCAGGATCCCATACAGGCTCCAGTCCTACTGCTGACAACCTGCTTCCCATCCAGCTCCCTACTTGTGGTCTGGGAAAATAGTAGAGGATGATCCAAAGTCTTGGGACCCTGCTCTCACATGGAAGACCCAGAAGAGGCTCCAGGCTTCTGGCTTTGGATCGGAGCAGCTCCTGCCATTGTGGCCGTTTGGGGAGTAAATCAACGGATGGAAGATCTTGCTCTTTGTCCCTCCTCTTCTCTGTGTATCTGACTTTCCAATAAAAATTAAAATTTTAAAAGTCCCTGTACTTCATTTTCTGCTACATGTTCACCCATATATTGTTTGATCCATTACTATTTTCCACTGCTGCGCACAATGAAGTCTGCATCCCATTGTAAACATGCCCACTAAAACCTCACTACAAAAGTTAGACATCTTGGACATGCTAATTGCTCCCTCAAAGAAACACTGTAATTTTTTTTTCTGCTTGTTTGTATTTTTGGCAAATGTTTCAATAATGTGCTATCATTTTATAGATTGTAGAAGAATATTTCCTTCAGAAATGCTTCTCTTTCCTAGATGCAGAAATCATCATCTTGAGCATGTCTCCAAATCTCTCAAAATCACCTTTTCTACAAAACTGAAGTCATCACATAGCTGTCAAATGGCTGTTTGGAATGTTACATAGTGTACGCAAAATACATGGTCCAGCTCAGGCACCAGGAAAACACTTATTAATATGTGTTTAATTCCCTTTTGTTATAATATTGGTTTTGCTATTTCTCTAACTGCTCATAACCACAACCTTTGTCTATAGGTTTGTTTTCCCTGTTTCTATGTACTTGTCTGTCTGTACACACACACACACACACACACACACACACACACGTTATTTCTCTACTCATTCACAAAGGCACTGTAAAATGTCACACATGGCCTCCACGTCTGCTGCCCCCATGTTGATAATGTTCTTATTTGAGAGGCAAGGAGACAGACAGAATTCACATGTGCTAATTCACTCCCCGGATGTCCATACCAGCCAAGACTGGGCAGGGCCAGGACTGAGAGTCAGGCATCCAGACCTCCAAGGGAGCTGGCAGAATTTTAATCACTTGAGCCACTTTTGCTGCTTCCCAGGATACTCATTAGCAGGAAGCAGGGTACGAGCTGGAATAGGGAACTGGAGCCAGGAACTCCTATATGGAACATGAGAGTCTTAATCTCTCAGTTAAATGATTACTACTGCCTACAAGTTCTGAATCTTATCATCTTTCGTACATTCCTCTCTGTTTTCTTCCATTAATACGAGCCTGTGGCAGACTGCCATGTTGTACTCAGGTGATCATTCCAGCTACTGACTGAGCTACCAGCGGAAAACCCTCAGTAGGTAATAAATCCCAATTGAAATCCCAACCAGGATGAGCTCCGAGGGACCTGTGCAGTCCCAGAGTTCTCTCTACAGTAAGCTGAGCATTATTGAGGATTCTTGCACCACACCTGACTTCTTTGTCCAATCCACTTCCTTCTCTTCTGTTCTCAGACAATGATCCCACACTAGACAGAATGAATCGTAGTCTCGACTCAGCCTGTTTCCCAGAGAAGCCAAATATTGATTGATTCTTTATTCCACTTAAAAAAGATTTATTTTATTTTTATTTGAAAGGCAAAGTTACAGAAAAAGAGACAAAGAAGATATTTTCCATCTGTTGGTTTATTCTCTAGTTGGCCACAATGACCAGAGGTAGACCAATCCAAGGCCAGGAACCAGTAGCTTCTTCTTGAACTCCCACTTAAGTCTAGGTGCCAGGAACTAGAGCTATTTTCTTCTTATTCCCCAAGCCATAAGTAGGGAGTTGCATCAGAAGTAGTGTGGCTGTAACTCAAACTGTTTCCAATGTGGGATACCAGTATAGCAGCAGATGTTTAAGCCACATCACCAGCTCCATATTCTACTTTTTAAAATATGCTTCCTATTGTAACATCATTATGTATTAGCCCTTCAATACTGTACTTGCTTCATTTCAATCTTACCTAGTCTCTTTGCCTTTGATCTTACAGCTTTCTGATGTGTATCCCATTGGGAAACTATAAAGACCTCATTGAATTAAAAGTTTGAGCATGAATAACATTGCTTAATTATTTTTTTCATTAGTTCTCCATTGCCTCTAAGATAAAACTGAAACACCTTTGCATGACCGGAAAAAGAAATATATGAATGGACTTCTGTCCAATTATAAAAACCAACTTTTGAACATTACTCAATCCTCTGTCTTCACTGAGTTACATTTTAGTGGATATGGTAAATATTAAATGAGTGATTTTGAAAACAGCTATTATTAAAATTGAGATATAGCTGTGGCTAAAGATGTGGAGTATAAATACAGCACATTGCAATGATTTGAGTTTTAATTACAAGGTGAATAACGACATTCTAATGAAGCCATATTTAAGTTATAACTTGCTTTATGAGCAGGTTATATCCAACGGATATTAGGTGCATCCCAAGAATGAAAAGGTGGTGTGTAGGTGAAAGCACTGAGATCAAACAGAACTTGAATCT